CACTCAACACGATGTCAGCTCTACCCTCTGGTGGCAGAACAGGGAGTTACAAGCAGAAAACAATTTCTACCCTTCATAATATTTTCATCTTTAGATTCCAAAAGATAAAATGACAGAAAACAATTAAGTGAACAATTGAACTATTATTGTTAATGGTGTTAATGGTAATTAGTAAGTAAGTAACTTTATGTATATAGTAGGGCTGGGCGATAAAACAATAACGATATATATTGCGATAGACACGTGTTCAATATCAATAGAGAACAGGGTCGATATAACTTTTGATAGTTTCACTTCAGTCCGTTCAAAAAAAACAGGAACAAAACACAGGAAGTAAAGCCGACGGAAGTAAAGCGCACGGCATTTAGGGGGATGTAGACAAAGGCTTCTCGACCTATCACAGCCGACAAAAAACCGCAAAACTTTCTGGGAAAAGCAAAAAAACAACCGCACCATGCTTAGCGTCAATGGATCTAGCCATGGATCTAAAGATTATGTTTCAGTGCCGTGTCAATAGTTATGCCCGTTCCTGCGAAGAACAGCATGTGCGGCGCAGGAGAGGCAGTGGGTACAGAGACTTGATGCATTCAGCAAAAGAAAGAGATTCACTTTTTCAGGAGCCGCCACAGGGACACAAGACACTCGAAAACAGCCAAAACAGGAGCTAAACCAGGATTAAACCAGGACTAAAGTGGGGGAGACTGCTTGTGAACATTTGGCTCCAGCCTCATTCCCCCGTGACTGTAAACAAGGCTGCTAACATGTGCTAGCCAACACGACAAATGTATTTCTTTACGTTTTTAATAATAAATAAAAAACAATCAATATACATCGTTATCGACCGATATGAATTACTTATATTGTGATATAGGTTTCAGCAATTTCGCCCAGCCCTAGTATATAGCCCTTTTCTCAAAGATGGGAGCCAGTCCTATGCCAGGCCTATTGTACATGTTTTTAGTGGTAGGGGAACTGGAGCACCCGGGGGAAACCTCACAGACACAGGGAGAACATGCAAACTCCTGGAGAACGGGAAGTCCTGAACCCAGGACCTTTTTGCCGGGAAACACAAATGCTAACCACGGCGCGATCATCCAGAGAGAAGGTGACACTCCAATTGCAATACATTATATATTACACTTAGTAGGAGAAACATGTAATCGGTTTGCATTATTCAGAAGCAGCTACAGTGGGGATGCCACGGTTACATTTTCAGAAAAAACCTCGCAATCCAATAATGATTCACTGCTATTGTCAATACAACAAGCGAACCGTGTACAATCACACGTCTCGCCAAATCCCACATTCATACATCATCATTTCTGAAGAAAAACTCTCCTACTTTTTACAAATCAACCACAACAACACATTTTTATGCATCACAACTACACCATCACACAGACCCACCAAACATCAAAAACTAAATTTCACACACACACACACACACAATCCCACCCTCCCCCCCTATTTTATTGTATTCCTTATCTGTATGAATCTTATCTAAATATTGATTTGCATTGTTTCTCTATAAAGAAATGTGTAACTTCCTTGCTTGAAAATCATTACAAAAAAAAGCGACTACACAAAGACACAATCCACAACTTGCGTCACAACAAAGCAATTCAAACACCTCAACATCCATAAAATAATTACACATATTGTGTTAAAATGTTTTATAATGTCATCTCCTCTGTTGAAGGGTCTCCTAATCGTCGTGTTTCCCAACTGGGGGTACATGGACCACTAGGGGTACGCAAGGATGTCACAGGGGGTAGTCGGAATGATTATCCAAACGGTGATGTAAGAGGGTTATGGGCTGTTGGGGAATGTTAAAAATCATTTTCTTAGGTAAACATTGGTTCTACTTCCGCAGGACCAGAGTAACATGTAAGCGTTCTGACCAATCAGAGCGCATCTTATCAGGGCGGAGCTAGAGAAGGAAGAGAACGAGCAAAGTTGGCTGCACAAAAGTGTGGAATTAAAGATGCAGTAAGCGATTTTGTTAGCTTAGCCGTAGCACCAACTGAAACCACTCCCCCCTCCCCTCGCCTCTCCACCAAACCAAAACAACCGGCACACGTGAACGCGCATCCACAAGTGACATCATCTGTCATCAGTTGAACATGTCACATTCTCCTGATTAGCAGAGGAGTCGCGTGTAGCGGCTGCTGCTGTTTCTGTGAGGTCTATGGAGAAGTGTAGAGGACAGTGTAATGTGTTCACGGACACTAAATGATCAGACCGATGGGTTGTGTTGGTACGTTTACTCTGCACTCCGTCCTAATACACTATAGACGTGTTGCTGCAGCCGTTCCTGTTACTGCTCGCACGTATGTTAGTATTTGGGGCGTTCATGTGTAGTCCGTACAGAAAGTGCAGTAGAGCAGTAAAATCCACATGTGTGTTTGTCCTCATGGTACCTGTGGCTGTTGTGGTCAGACGTGAAACTTTATAAATTGCGTGAAGCGGCCGTTTTGTGTGATGTCAGTGAAAATTGCTTTGTACAAATGCACTGCAAGATCTCAGTCGTAAAATTCAGTCATGTTTAGAAATTCCAACTCAGGTGCACGCACTTGCGAAAAACAGGAAGAGGGTGAAGGGGGGTAAACACATCCCATTGGTTCGTTGGGGATGAACGAATCCCATTGGTTTATTTTTATCAGTCCACTCCAAAATATTATTTATTATTTTTTGGAGACTACAGGCATCTGGTCAATTCCCTTACTATTTGAAAACACATGATAACTTGACTACTTTTAGGGTTTAGGGACGTTTTCCCACAATATTTTAAAAAATGCATCTGGAAAAAATCACTGACTGCATCTTTAAGATTAAGATTAAGAGATCTCTCCCCAGTGGAGATATTTCAGTGTTGCATCACCGATTTCAGAACAGTAGGAATGAGGAGCACACAACACAATATTAAACAAAAACTAACTATAGAAAAATAAAAAAGATCTCAAGCTTTACCAGGAAGCAAATCCAAAATCTTCAACTATAGCAGGAAACCAATGGATTTCAAAAGAAACAGGATTCAGGATGATGAGTGACACGAGAATCCACACAATTTTAAGATGCAGTACCATGGGTGGCCACTTGTCCGTGTGGAGGCTGGTTTAAAGGTCTTACATTTTGTTTTTCTTCATTTTTCATAGTCCATCCTAAGCACATGTGTGATAATAATTTGGGTATATACAGCAATAGCAGGAAAACAGCATAGAAGTAAACACACACAGACTGTGGGAGTGGGTCCGAAGGCTGTGGCCACTGATTCGCTCTTTTGGTTTCTCTTTCCTGTCAATCACATGAGCTCGAGCTGGGTGTGAAAGTGTCCTACGTAACAAAGTGAATCGTGTCGTTTCACTGCCTCTAGAGAATAAAAGAGAAGGTTTGCTCTCTAAATAAAGTGAAGCAATTGAAAAACTACTCCGGGCATTTGTATGAAGGCCAAACAGAGTTGTAATCAGTGCAGTTTTATTCATCTGATGTTGCTTTTTTTACATTTCAACCCATCTCACTCAGAGCTCAAACATGACAAAAGGATAACATCATCCAGTTACACATATCAATCAAACAAAAAATCCATAGAAGTATAAGAACGCAGCACTCAAAGACACTTCACATGTCATAATACTTTCACTCCATACACAATGGTGATAAACTACGCGCTTAGTAGCCACAGCTAGGACTGTTACTATAGTAGCCACAGCTGTCCTGGGGCACACTGACAGAACGGATACAACCAGTATGTGTCATCAGCCTAAGGACACAATAACAGTTTGGCACTTTACAGCCGCAGTCGCCCCACTGTGGCACCTGATGTTCCCAGTGGTCTCCCATCACTGTACTAACCAGGCCCTGACCTGCACAGTCAGAGGTCTGACGTGATCTGGCTTCCACATGCAAGTTTACTATAATACAGGGAGTAATGGTAGCTATAATAGCTAACAGACTGGGCAACTCTAATCGACACAAGATGCAAAAGACTTCACTATATGAACCAATGCATGTGGTGTATTTTGTGTGGTTTTCCAGTAACTAAAGACAAAAATAAATCTTGTGACTGGGCTGATTTAGCCACTCTCTGATCCAAAAGGTTGGAGAGCCCTGAATATTAAATGGACAAATTCACAATCAATTTGAATCACAGAAAATTCGTTCTTGTTTAGTGGTTCTAACCATGTTCCATTCTCTCCGCATCTTCGCGCATCTCCTAAAGTGTGCCGCGCTCCAAGGAGGGGCTCCACACTCGCGCAGAAACTGAAGCCGCAACAATATTACAACCCGCATCGGGGACAGTGGCAGGTGGGGGTTTGACTGGGGAAGCTGGGGGTGGACAGAAACCTCGCGGGGAGCAGAAGGGAAAAAGCTCGCTTTATCTTTAATGACATAAAGATCATGATAAAGGAGATTTATGTCATTAATTAACATTTCTGGACAGTGGTCATCCCGCTCCCTATGGACCAATGGCTTCTATGTGTTTTTATTACTACATTTTCCGTGTTCGAACCGAAATCTGCTATTGAGGAATTGACAACCGTGTAAAGTCCCCCAAGACGACTGCTGTTGTGATTTAGGGCTTTACAAAAAACATTGTATTGAATCAAATCGATGTTGATTGTCAGTATTAATACGGACCGTGAAAGCAGAGCCTCACGATCCTTCAGACTTTTTGGGGTTTGAAGCAGAAAAGTTACTACGGGGATAACTGGCTTGTGGCGGACGCGCGTTCATAGTCACGTTGCTTTTTGATTCTTCGATGTCGTCTGTTTCTATCATTGTGAAGTGGAAATCACCAAGCGTTGGATTATTCACCCACTAATCCTAGTTTTACAACGAAGTGAGAGAGGTTTGTTTTACCCCACTGATCATGTCTTGCTGCAATAGTATTTCAACTAAAGCACAACCAGTTACGCGCGTGTCTCCAAAAGCGCAACTGTGCCACATTACGCACCCAAACTTTACGCACGCATTCCAACGCGTCTTCCATTCACACGCGCTCACCTGCAGGACACCGTGATCTCCACTTTGGTCGCGGGGATGTTGCCGGTGAAGGGGTCGAAGTCGTCCTCCTCGCACTTGTCCACGTCGCCCCCGTCCATGAGCGGCTCCATGGTGGGATCCCCGGCACTGCGCGGAGGCTCAGGCGGAGAGCGGAGAATCCAGCCGACCGGTGTGAGCGCGCGTGTGAGTGCGTGTGAGTGCGCGCGTTGAGGAGGCAGGAGTGGACTGAAGAGGAGCAGATGGAGCGAGAGAGAGAAGACGCGGTACTCCTCCCATCACACATCACACACAGGCGCTCACGTGACGCGCGGTCCACGGGTTAAGGGAGGAGAGAAGTGGCTGTATTGCACTGAAGACTTTCTGAAGAATTTAAAGATCCACTGGAACATCTGGAATATACTCTTTTTATTATTATTTGTCAGCCAATTGATCAAATTTAACCAACAAGCTCGAGGAATACAGATGTGCCCCTCTTATTTCCAGTAAAATTCGATTCAATAAAACGTATTTTTGTAAAGCTCACAAAAGCAAATGTTTTGGTGGACTTTACAAAGTTGTCAATTCCTCAACAACAGATCAGAGAATCAAACAGTTCGAATATAGGACATGCAACAGGCGCTATCTGTAAATATCCATAAATGTCCTAAAATGTGCAATTGCAAAAAAGCAAACAAAAAATAAAAAATAAAAAAGTCAGGAAAAAGTGAGAAACCTCTGGGAAGCCCACACTGAGAGAGGGATCCTCTCCCACAGGCTGTAGATCCAGAACTCAGGCTGTAGAACATGGGCCGAGACTGTGCAGTGCAGTACTTAAGAGGCGCAGATGGGGACAGGTAAAAGAGGCCGAATTCAGGGGTCCCATAGTAACGCCATGAAACAGACAATGAGACAGAATATGATATGGAAAAACATTGTCAAGAACAGGGGTGCTCAATACGTCTATCGCAAACAGAGTATTGGTAGATCGCATTAAATAAATAAAAAATTACACATTCTAAACGAATATATACAAAAAACTCCGGGCAAAGTGGAGATTTTTGAAAACTCCGTTAATGCATTTGTGTGTAGACAGAGATAACCAGAGTTTTGCGTTCTCGCACGCCACAGTACCCCCCTAAATTCCTCTGATCACTGAAGCATGGATCATACTACCTTAAAAACTGTTCGCTGTGAGATGCTCGCAGCAGCGAACATCCTCGCTCCACATCAGAGAGCAGCAAAGTGATCGCAGGGACTCACGCTCGAAAACAACCAAACCAGGACTAAACCAGGACTAAACCAGGGCTGAGGACGGGGTCAGTGCTTGTAAAAATACGTCTTACTCTTTACTCTGAGTGTCTTCTATGACTGTAAAAGTGCCGTTACCGGCGTCTGCATCAGAACTCCGCCTACTTCTGTGTTTTTCCCCAACGCAGGACAGGACGTAAGAGACGCACATGTTTGGAATGTTACGAATGTGATTGATAACGCAGATGTGTGGATGCAAATTATTGTATAAACGGAGGAGGGGAAATATTTGGATTTAAAAAAAACAGGCATGGCACATGGACATGGCACCACAGTCAAATGACATCTGTGTTTTACTCAGTAATGTTTTACTGACACTTAGGTGACTGCACATGTGCAAACAACCGCGCTCAGTGCAGGAAAGCTAAACCACGACAAACTTGTCAGCGAGTTACCACCAATTTTCCGGACTATGCATCCCTGGCCGATTTAATTCAGTGCAAGTCATCAGAGTAAACTCGGGTAATGACAACAAATGTACATAGGTAATTGTGTTGTGCTATATTGGCTCATGCGGTTTTGCATGTACATAAACATACATTGTAGATATAAAGAATATTTTTTGAAATAAATATATGATTTGCATTTTTGTAGTAGGTAGATCATTTTGACTTGATCCTTTTATAAGTAGCTCGCATGCTGAAAAAGTGTGAGCACCCCTGGTCAAGACTCTACCCACTGAAGCCTGCCTAGCCATCCGTACACTCCGCTCAATTATCATTTCCCTGCATGTAACGTCTGGGTCGGGTCCCTGGGTTAGCGATTACAATCGATTGAATTCCATCCGACCAATCAGCGAGCATGGGAGGCGGGTGTTGTAGTTAGTTGTGGGTGATGTCAAGAGTTTGCATCGAACGGGCAGGTTGTAGTTTGGCAATGGCGAAGAATGAGATAGTAAAGTAATCCGGTCTGGTTCTATCAAGAAATTGAAGCCGGAGCAATAGAAATGTATAGCAAATGTAATTGCTGGCAAAGATTGTGCAACTCCCCACGGGCTCTGTTAGCGGCAAAGGAGATGGCTAGGCTAAATGCTAACGACTCACTCATTACATACGTCACAGTATGTAATGACTATGGTGTGGTACGACCAGGCTATACCCACTGTCACCTTACTGAATATACAGTGTCTTATACTTGCTTCTTTATTATTCTAAAGTTAGAGAAAGTTATTTACTTCTTAATAAAATTAAGTCAGAGATGTTATAGTTAATTCTTGATTCTTCATTATATTAAAGTTAGAGATTTTATTTTATTTTAGAATAGTTATTGTTCATTTATCTTGTGTTGTGTGCTCCTCATTCCTAGTATACTGTTCTGTAACTGGTGATGCTGTTCTGTAACTGGTGAACACTGAAATTTCCCCACTCTGGGACGAATAAAGGATCTCATAATCTTAAACATAGTGGCTGAGTGGATAGCACTCTCGCTTCTCAGCAAGAAGGTTCTGGGTTCGAAACCCGGTCGGAACAGGGCCTATCTGAGTTGAGTTTGCATGTTCTCCCCGTGTCTGCGTAGGTTTCTTCCGGGTACTTCTGTTTCCACTACTACTAAAAACATGTGCAATAGTTCAGGGTGAATAAATGAGTGTGTGTTTGTGAGAGCGAATGTGGGACAACAGATGCAAATTAGCCCATGGCTACAATCCGGAGTGATGTGTTCATTAACATATACTGTCCCAACCAAATAAAAAATAAGATAAATGTGTCTGGGCTCTTTGTGAAGCTAAGACACTGTAGTTTTGGCCTTTTCCTTTATTATTAAGTGGGTACAATTTCTGCAAAAAGAAAGAACAATCTCCAATATAACCGACATGTTCTTTGTAAATAAAAACTTTACTGTTGGTGAATCCACAACTTTGTAAAGTCCTCAGAGACGACTGCTGTTGTGATTTAGGGCTTTTACACAAATAAATTGAATTGAATAAATTGAAGTGAATGGACGGCGTGCACAGAGAAGGCTGATTGGCTGAAGGCAATTGTTCTTAGTGGGGTAACTAGATTATTTGAGGCAGCAGATCTGGTGTTTCCTGCTCTGCTTAAAAATAATTAGAAAGTGGTGGTGGAGCCAGGCCATTAAAGATTTTAAAATCCAGGTCAGCAGCTTGCATCCTGCAGTGATGGTGGCCATGTCTCTATTCCATCAAATAAATTATGAGACCGAGATGATATTGAAAGCAAAGTTTAGCACAAAGGGCTCATCATATTTCTAACACTAGAACTCCCAGAGAAGTCATTTGACGGCACTTTGAAAGTGTAATTATTCAGCTCTCATTTGAACTTCATATCTTTATGACTGTTTTTTTACCCATATGTACTTTATTTCTATGTCCTTTTTATGAAATGTGAAGTTCTCCCTCTAACTCTCTGAACAATGAAAAATTCAAATGTAGCCATTTTTGGTCACTTGGCAACCAACATTTGGTGGCAGTTAATGCAACTTTTCTCATGGATAGATTCTGGACTGATTCAGACCAATCTCAGCTTGGAGCAGTTTGTAGTTACCATAGCAACACCTTGTTTACTTGACAGAAGTTAGTAATTAGTAGTATTTCAACAAACTGTTTTGTTGCATTTCAAGTTATAATACACTGTTTTAGCATGTACTGAAGATTTGTTTTAAAACTTTACATTTCTAAATTTTAATAAAAGTTAAAACGTTTTTGGTTTTTCTTTTTTTTTCAGAATTTCATTGAATGGGAGCCGTCAATCTTACTGCTCGGGGAGTTCTAATAGTTTCAGAATTCTAGAAGTCCTAGTCCTTTTCGACATGTTATATCGGTTTTAGTTGTTGTAGTCAGTTTTGGCTATTCAGCTAAATTATCTATTCTATCCAAGTCTTATATTATACTTCTACTTATTTCTACCTCTCTCTGCTCCTTTTCAGTCACATTGTTGTAGAAAGGCTGCTTTAATGCAGCATTTTCAATGTATACTTATATTGCCAAGACATTTTAATATTATCCCCATAACATCTTAAAGCTCTCCCATGCAAGCAGCAGTGTGACATTTCAGCACCAGGAGAGAGTGGACAGCTCCCAGGACCAGACTCGGCCAAGCAGCACGGTAAAACTCCAGAAATAGAGCTGGGAATGAAAGACAATCATGATGTGTTGGTTTATTAAGAAATAAGGAGACTATTTCAAAGATTTGTGCTCGAATATGAATGTTAAACTGTTGGAATGTAAGGTGTTTCATAACGGTGTGAGTTAGTAGTAAGAAATATTTATTTTAATAGCTTTACGATGGTTGAAGAAATTCTCCGTGGGAGCAGAGGTCCTTCCTCAAGTGGAGGACTTCAAGTCTCTTTTGTTATTCGTGAGAGAAGGACAGAGCGTGAGATTGACAGGCGCTATATCGAACTGTTGTGGTGAAGAGGGAGCAGCGTCTGCAGTCAAAGCTCTCTGTCAGTCTATGTTCCCACCCTCACCTCTGGTCATGAGCTTTGAGTAATGACCAAATGGACTAGATTGCGGATACAAGCTGTCCAGATGAGCTTCCTCGCAGAGTGGCTGGGCACTCCCTCCGAGATAGGATGAGGAGCTCAGTAACACAGGAGAGGAGCTCGGAGTAGAGCCGCTGCTTCACCACGTCAAGAGGAGCCAGTTGAGGTGGCTCTGGATTTGTTTGGCATGCCTTCTGTACATGTCTTTGGGGAGGTGTTTCAGACACGTCCCACTGGGAGGAGATCAGGAGAAGGTTGGAGGGACTACGTCTCTCAGCTGGCCTAGGAACCCTTCGGGATTCCCCGGATGAGCTGGGGCAGGTGTGAGTGGGTAAAGAAGTCAGATGCTCGTGCAACCCGGCATTGGATAAAGCAGAAGAAAATGGATGGATCGAGCATTTGTCCTCTCATTACACACACAGTGATGGAAGCGGGGTCGCCACCTAGAGGAAACCCACGCAGACACAAGGAGAACATACAATGTCCACACATAAAAAAGCTCTCTTGTAGAAAAGTACAAGCTCTAACCGCTGCCCCACTGTGCCACCACTTACACTCACAATTCTTTTTCCTAAACATAAATCCTTTACATTTAATGGCTCACGATGTATAGAAGCAGCGTCTCTACTCCGAGCTCCTCCCATGTGTATGAGCTACTCAC